TTCTCTTCTTTTACGCACCCATAAATACGTAGGTAGATCCGTCGAATCACGAAATAACAATAAATATTAAATGTCATTATAGGTACCTATCCAATCTCCGCTGATCGAATTTTCATTATCTTAATAATATACATACCTACTGGCTAGGCACTGCCGTTATTATCCCATTTTATGCTCACCTGCTATAAATCTCATAATAATTCGTGCACAGGCGGCTATATAATATTATGACGCGATATAAGACCGAATATAATAGTTTTCTTTTGTCACGCCTGCACCTATAAAATACAAATATAATAATTATAGAATGTATAGGTATTAGGTACCCCCCACAAAGTACGTATTAAGGGCTAGCTTTTTATCAATTATTGTTCTATGTTTTAATTTTATGATTAGGTACCGCGTTAGTGCGTTACACTTGCGATACTCTTCTTTACCGATACTTGTTTAAGTTTGCCTTCAATTTCTTTAAAATTTAAAAGCAAGTCACTTGTGCCCTAACGACGGGTCTGCATTACGGTCTACGACCACTCATAGGTACATAATTGATAGTATTTAGAACTGCACATAGCCCTCGAGTCAGTTGCGGTTACGAGGGGGAGGGGTGTAGGGGCGTTCGCCCTTCCCCCCTTGAGCTGTCTTTTTAACGTTATTTTCTATCATAATATTTGACTAAACAAAAAGCCAATTTAATTTTTGAAAATTCGCCCCCCTTGGGTGACTTATGGATCCGCTACTGCCTCGAGTAACAGATTTGAGCCACTTGACATAAAAAATTAACAAACCCTTTATTTATTTATTTTGTTTAAAATAATACCTATGCCTTGGCTGTTTGGTTGTTGGCGTCAACATTGCTTACATTAGGATTAGGTAATTTGTGCACATTATGTGAACATTACGTGTTAACAAAAACAATAATTTGTACAAATGTACAATACATCCGATATTTTGTTATTATTTGAATGTTTTAAAAACGATAATATCAAACAAAATTGTGGAAATCATAATTTTTTAAGTTTTTGAGTTGGACAAATATTTTCACAAAAAACCACTAAAAAATCAATCTTCATATTTTTTCTTTTCAGAAACCCATATAATTGAACCAATTATATCAAAATATTGATACCAATATTAAAGGTATCTGTATCAATTGAAGACCTTGGAGCAACAACGAGACATGTCCTTTTTTTGAAATTGTTCAAGAGACAAAAAAAACATTGTAAATTCCAAAAAAAAAAATTTAGAATTTTTTAAAAAATAGTATATTTTAGTTATAGGGTACATACAACATATGCACTAGTAGATAGTGCTTAACTTTTGATAGTAAGTTAAGGAAGCAATAAAAACTTGTTTGGACATATCTTGTTGTTGCACCGTAATGCAAATTTGCTTGGACATGCCTCGTTGTTGCACAGTATTTAAATTTTTTTTGGACATATCTTGTTGTTGCACCAAAATTAAATTTTTATTTAATATGTATTTTTCTGGACATATCTTGTTGTTGCACCAACACAACAACAAGACATATTATAACTCCATATATAACAGTCGGACATGTCTCATTGTTACACCAATCGATGCAGATTTTTTTTTTATATTTTACGACGGGAAAAAGTGATTTTGACCAAAACATGGACATGTCTCGTTGTTGCCCCAAAGTCTTCAATTAGTATTTAGTACCTATAGGTTTGTACTTACTAGTTACTACTTTATCATATTAAGAGATACATTATAAACACGATGGTGCAAAAATTAAAAACTTTCCAAGCGAGCGTCCTTTTGCTCGGTTTTCATATAGGTGCCAACCAAACAATGAGTTTTTAGGTACTATGTTACCTTCCCAAAATGGTTCACCATAACAAGTCGATGGATGTTTTCGATTTAAACTTACCAAATGAGCTTTGCAAAAAATTGATTTTTTAGTACCTAAAATATGAAAATGTGGTACCTAGGTACCTACCTCTTCATTTTTGAGCATTAGGTACCTACCTATTGTATAACTAATGATTGCCGTATTTTTTTTTTTTTTTTTAGAAAAATAAACAAACATTTGAGAGGGTGCTTAATTTAATTTGCCACACTTTTAAAATTGTTGCTATGAACAACACGTTACTTATTGGCTATTGCTTACGTACATCTAAATTCGACTCTGAATTCTGATGGTCTGATTACAGTACCTACCTAATATGGTAATATAGTAACAGTGTCGGCCTGGCCAGGGCCGCGGGGCCGCGAACGCGTCCGAGGCCCTGAGCTTTTTTTTTTTTGTTTATAATTAGTGGCCAAGACCACCACCCCAACGTAGAGTAGTCAACAAAGCGTCAAATATACGGTACAATTAAATGTACGACGATGAACGAGGGAGTGTCGATCACTAGGGCCCACAGGCTGCAGGGGCCCCAGCCGAAGTCTTAACTAAAAATATTGTTTTTCTATATTAGATTTGGATAACAATTTTTACAATCAATATGACCACCCCAATTTTTATTCACAAAAATAATCGTAAAAAACTTTAATAGAGCCCTTCATTGAAAGTGACAATTGGCCTAGTTGCGCTACTGACGAAGTGTATAAACGGGGCCGGTTTAGAGAGGACCGGGGCCCCACAAGATTCAATTAATAAGAGGCCCCCACGAGATAATTACCTTTCAGCTTATGCAGTAAGTTGTATGTCAACCTTATATGGCCAGATGATGGGCCCTAGGGCCCCCACCATCCTAAATCCGGCCCTGTGTATAAGTTATAGAATTTGAGTGTAGTGTACAATCACTACAAACACGTATCTACTATCTAGTACGATATAATAGAATCTATATTTTGTCATGGTGCATACGTGTGCAGTGTGCTGTTTACTCGTATAAGGTGTAGTACAAATGTAATGATAAACGAGATGATTTGAACGCACATAAGATTTTTTGTACAACAAAATTGTCGGGAAAATCGTAACGAGTACAAATACAATAAGTCAATAACGTCTATGTGTGGGGCCCCTGTATGGCTGTACAATAGGTTTGATAAATTGTCTAATCAATTATTATCATTAGCGCTATACCGAAATAAAGAAGTAAGAACAATTAAGTTAAGTAATTAAAGAACTTTCATTTCATTCAAACTCATTTCATAATTTATTTACAGTTTATAAATATGTATTTATTTTACCCTCTACTCAAGTGACTTGTGAAAGGGTGTTTTCTAAACTGAAACTTGTGAAGTCTAAAATCAGATCAATAATAAGTCAACAATACTTAATGCTTATTGCAATTGAAAAAGATATCAAGATTCAGAAAACTCAAATTATTGATACTATAGCTACCTAACTACCTAAGTCATCTAAAATGTTACATGAATTGCTCATTTAGTATTTAAGTTTTTTATATTTAGCTATTACTTTCTTTAAAAATAATGTTGTGTCAACTTTTGTTCATTGTTCGTCTTCTTTATTATATTTTGGATGATATCTTTTTCGTAATTTGAATTACATTTTGTTTAGTAACTTATTAAAATCATGTGTATCATTAAGCACGTCAGAAGTTAATACTTGGTTTTAGACTTTAGTAGAGAATAGTAAAAGTGGAAAAATTTTAATCGAGCGACTATTTGGTGAGTGGGGGGAGGGAGGTAAAAGTCAGCGTTAATAATTGGCGTTTAACGGTCAGCATCAAACGGTGCTGTTCAATATACAGGTTTCACTTTAATCACACAACTATAGTCATTTTTTATTTTTATTCATAAGAAAAAAACTGAATTCTGACATAATATATCATAAGTTAGTTTACAAAAAATAATTCATTTACACATTGGCTGATTGAGCGGGGGGGGGGGGGATATACAATAACTCTAGGAACGAAATTGTTCATATATAGTAAATGAAGAAAAAAAATCGAGGCCCCAGAGAAAATTTGCGGCCGAGGCCTTTTATATGCCAGGCCGACACTGTATAGTAATATTAATAGTAATATAATATATTATTATAAAATATAATTTATAGGTTGATAGTTGGCGGCTTCATGCACTCACGAAATTTCGTGCTACAAATATTATTGACTTTAAATATATTATTATAATATTACATAGGTACCTATTACATTATTTTATTATTGTTCAGTAATTATTTTTTTATAGCGAGAATCACGAGCAGACAGATGGCGCTGGGACACCGGACGTCTCGTCGCCGCCCACAGTCCGCGGGACGATCATCTGTTCGTGATTACTTATCTGACGCAAAATTTCGCCTTTTGTGTGTTGTCGTTTCGCGATAGGTATTGGGTATCGCGGTGCGCTGTCCGACGATTTTTCTCCGCTACAAACAAACGCACGAACAACGAATAAACAATAGAAAAAGAAAAAATCCTCGTCGTTTGGGGTTGTGTTATTGTCTCCCAGCCATGGATGTTTCGCCGTCTGCCCGAACTTATTGTCGCGAGGCCCCTCTTCGAAATGCTGGCGTTAGTTCAGCAACTTAAATTTACAGTCATGCAATCATGACGTCTAAGTGAGTAGAAAAACGTTCTCGTCCCTGTAACCGTCGGGCATCGCTATGCAAATGGAAATTTGTATCGATCTGGTGACAGCAGCATCAGACGTCGCGGTTTTCCTTTTAAGGTCAACCGGTTGTCGAAACAATTGATTAGTCTCGGTCCGTCTACCTCTCTATTGATCCATAAAAGAAATCCGTGCCATCTGACAAACTTGCTGTAGCTCTTGGTACCATATCTGCTTTGGCATAACCCTTTGCACCTGTTGGCACTTGACATTGGTTTCAGTTTTGTAGGGATTCTTTGGTTTTATTGAATTCTTGAGACAATTAAACTCAAGGTTATTTCCTGCTTTTAATGTTACAGGATCCAGTTTGTACGTGGAAAAATTAAATCGAATGTAAGTTGTTCAATAATATGATTATTCACTTAATAAATAAATACATTTTTATCATTTTCGTAGATGAGTTTAGTACAATAAAATTTTATCATTTTCAGAGATGAGTTTAGTACAATACAATTTTTATGGATGCATTGACGCCTGACATTAGGATATCAAAGTCTAGTCGGAGTTTTTCTCCTTCACAAAATCCAATGCCTAAGATGGCTAATAAACCATGGAATGCTGCTACGTAAATATACAATTTCTAGAAAACATTTACTTCTTAAATTTATCACAAAATGTACAATCAAGTAATTTTATTGCTTGTTGTTATCATTATCATATAGATACTATAATATATTGTTCTAAACATAAACAAACAAAACTGTTTACTGCTAAAAATCCCAAATTGTATACTACTCTTATTATAAAAATTAAACTAGTGATAAAATAAAAGTACTTAAAATAATAATAAAGGACTTTAAATAGTCTTAAAAAAGTTATAATTAAAATTATAGATAACTAATTTATCTAATACAAAACATTGTATAAAACATTTCTTATGTCTGTTTCATTAATGAAACAATTTCTTATCTGTTTGTTGTTCAATAAAAATTCCATTGGTATGATAACTATTATCCAGTAACTTTGATCCCATGTTATCTTGTGCAATAGTTTTTTAGATAACTATTCGACTATTTATCTATTGTTTGTCAGTTGTAAATGTCTAGTGTTATTTCAGCCGTTAAGCTGAATGTGTTTCTTTCTTGAATGAATAGTTTTGCACCAAATAATATATTACCTATAAATTAAAGTAGAATGTGATAATTACAATTTTAAATGAGGCTTTAATATTCATTTAATTACCTTGGTTAAAATTAATATGTTAATTTAATTGTAATTGTTAAAAGTCTTCAGAATAATTGAAATGCAATATTGGAGTTTAATTTATTTAAAATAATTTATATAAGGTCTAATTTTTCTATGTCAAGTTTACATAATTAATTTGTATGGACTATGAACCTAACTAAAACAAAAACTTAGTTATTTATTTTATTATAAAATAATAAATAATAATTTTTCTTTTATATTGAATGTAATATTTAAATTATACATTAATGGATTCATCATTCTTTGTATATGCAAATAATTACATTTTCAACACAAATTAAAAACAGTATTTTAAGTCAAATTTTTGAACCATAAATAATATTTTGAGTTTTTTCTGTTTTTTTCTTGCAAAATTTAAAACTATTATTGCTTAAAAGTATAGCTATAAAGTATCATAATTTTGCAACAAATCAATATATTACTGCCATCTTATATCTACTTTCATAAACCCAGAAAAAATGTTAGTATATGTTTATAAATGCGACCAAAACTTTTCAATTAGTTTTTCTGCTGATGAAATTGCCATGAGCCGATGTAAATCACCTGTGGGGTCATCAGGAAGTATTCGAGTGGTTCGTCATGAACGAGGAGGATCCGCAGACACAGGACTTATTAGACCTGATAATTTATCAAGTTATGCATCCAGTGAAGAACCTAACCCATCTGGAAACAATGAAGATGATGGTGTATGTAAAATAGATGAATACTATTTTGTATATTTATTATGAAATCAGATTAATAATAATTTTATATTTGTAGGATTTATTTTATTCATATGGTGGATACAATGGTGCTGAACTTGCTGATGATTCCGATGGTACAAAAACCAGAGCAGCAATGGACCATGTCCGATCTAAAATTGTGCGCACCAAAGATTTGATACGAAGTGAACAAACAGCAAGAGATGGTATATAACTATAAAAATGATTATTTATTGTAGATGAATTTATATTTAAATACCTAGCTATTGTCAATCGGACATTAAAGTTGAAAAGTTATAATCAAAAAATGTTATACAATTTTACATAATCATTTTGAAAATAATGTTTTATAATAATATGTAATAAGTAATAACTAATTATGTTATAAACATGCTTGTAGATAATGTCAATGAGTATTTAAAATTGGCATCAAATGCAGATAAACAACAACTGGCTCGTATTAAGTCGATATTTGAAAAAAAAAATCAAAAATCTGCTGTTGGTATATCACAATTACAAAAAAAACTTGAAGGTTATAATAAACGATTAAAAGATTTAGAAACACATGGGCTCACAACGTCACATCATTTGAAACAACCAAAAGAGATGTTAAGAGATGTTGGCCATGGTCTAAGGTAAATATTTTGCATATTGTATAATATAATTATTAATTTATAATAATTTTTTTTCTAGGCATGTTGGCGGTAATATAAGAGATGGAATTTCTGGTTTATCTGGGTAAATATAAAATGTTCTTATTTAATTAATTTTATCATAATTATTATTTTTAATATCATGTATAATTGATACATTTCAATTATTATTTAATATCTTAATAATTTAGATTTTTTTATGCCATATAGATATTAAGATTGGGGATACACTGTTTAGTTTAGAGGGGGACTCTTCACATTTCAATAAACTATGATCAAAATTTAAGCTGGATTACAAAACTATGATACTAATGAAACGTTTATTTTAAACAAATGTATTATTATTTTATAATTCACAAAACTCAGTTGTTAGTTGATATTATTCAAAATTCAAAAATTAATTGGTTTTAAATTCTTAGATTGGTAATTTATATAAGTAATATAAAAATATTATATTTTAAGACACTTGATTATTTTTAAATTTTTAAATGTTTTATTTTAATTCATAATCTTATATTTCTATTTATTCATGGTATTCTTCTTCAATAGAAATTTGAGATATTGGCAATAAATACATTTTTCATTTGATTATGAACAAATATTTGCTATCCATTAATCAGACGACTAATAGTTATTATGTTACTTATCTATAATTAATTTAAAACACACATTTTATTATTGACATATATTAATCATCATAACTATGATTATTTATTGTTACATATGTATGGATTATAAATCAAATAAATTATTATTTTTATTAAAGTCTGTAGATTAGTAAACATAATAAAGTATATTGAAACACCAAGATAATTAACATATTTTATTACATTGTAAAATTTATTAGTTGAATAAAAAATTATCTTTATTGATGGTGCTATAGAACAATTATTGTTCTATAAAATTAACATTTTAGTCAGTGTGAAGATTTAGACATAAAAGCAATTCATTTTTTTTAAGATTATTTATTTTTTATTTTACATTTCTCAATATAGGTAATTATTTAAATATTGTTTTATTTTAAATTAACAGAACTGTGTATCATATACTTTTAATGAATGATTATAATATGTAATATGTATATTATATAATATGATAATCTTTTATCAGCATTTAAATTCAAAATTTTAATTATTTTGTCATGGATTGTAAGTGTCTTTTGTTTTAAGTTTCAACTAAGCATATATGAAAATGGTCATAACTGTCAAAGTATAATATTAAATTAAACATTACATGATCTAAAGCCATACAGCTAATATTATTTAAAAATATTATGTTTCTGTTGTAAAAGTCTTTCCCACTAGTCTTACTTTTTTTACTGGGGTTTTAAAGCTTTGATTTAATTATAATATTAATATAAATTTTATAAATGAAATCCCAATTCGGGGAGAAATTTAAAAGCTCTAAGGCACACAAAAATTTTTTATTTTTTTTTTATAAATATAAATTGTGTATTATACAGTTTTTTAGGCAAAATAGCAACATAATATAATAAGATATTTTTTAACATTAATAACCTATTTTTGTTATGTTTATTATTTAGATCGGTGATGTCAAAACCACGAGAATTTGCTCATCTAATTCGAAATAAGTTTGGTAGTGCTGACAATATCAATTCAATATCAAGTAAATATTACACTTTTTTTTTGATTTTTTGCTACTAAAATGTTAAATAACAAATTATATATTATTCAATTAAGGATCAAGTGAAGCTGATCTAACTGAAGATAATAGTGATAAACAGAGTGGACGTAACCATCACGGCAGTGCTACTTTGCCAGGAGGTGTTGGACTTCATGCATCAACTGCCGGTGCTGCCGCATCACGTAGTGAAGACGGTGCTTCAGAATGCAGGTATTAATTTTTTGTTAATTTTTACTCATTCAGATCATGAATAAATAATATAAAAAGTGTTTGGACATTTGTCCTATTTTAAATTTATTTTGATAATATTAAATATAGAAAATTATTAGTCATACCTATAGTTTGTTAATTCATAATTACCATCATATTATACTGTTTTCTAGTTCTGTGACTAGTGAATCAATTCCACCACGAACAGGTCCTGGGGCACCTCCACCTCCTGCATCTGCAACTACTTCCTTGGAACCAGTTTGGGCCGAATTAGATCATTTACGCTCAAAAATGGAACACATTAAACAGTTAGTATCCAAAGATATTGCATCTTTAAACCATTCCCTTCAGGAAGAACGCTTTCGTACTGAGCGGCTCGAAGAGCAAATAAATGATCTCACTGAGCTACATCAGAACGAAGTGGAAAATCTTAAACAAACCATCACAGATATGGAAGAAAAAGTGCAGTACCAGAGTGAAGAGAGACTTCGTGATATTCATGAAATGCTTGAAGCGTGTCAAACAAAAATGTCTAAAATGGAACATCAACAGGCACAGCACCAACAGTATGTCACATTAGAAGGATTAGACAATTCTAATGCTCGTGCGTTAGTGGTAAAATTAATAAATGTGTTACTCACTGTGCTCCAGGTAGTGTTACTTTTAGTTGCCACTTTTGCTGGCATTCTGATGCCATTTTTAAGAACTCGGTTAAGAATAATTACCACAACTGCTGTAGTTGCTGGGTTATTCATTGCAGTAAAACAATGGCCCGACAGTGTCAGCCTGAGTGATTACCTCATAAAACATGGCAAGCAAGCCCTGTTATCCGTTAAATAGTTTCTTTTTCTATTTTACCTTTTTCACAATGATATATACATTTATGTAAACTGGTGTGATAATTCTTTCAATTTAAGGCCAATTACCATGACAATTTATAAAATAATATTGTGACAGTATTAGAGAGAAAAACAATAATGAGCATATCGTCTTTACATTATAATATTATTCTTTATAAACTTATAGACAATATAAATAGTATATAACTTACTCTATCCTTCTCAACCTGCCATGACTATTGTTGTTATTAAAACCATATTTTAAATTAATTTAATTGTTTTTTTATATACATAAAATGTATTATTTAACTTGTTTTATAATTGATTGGATATGAGGGTTCAATGACACCCGTGGTGATAGTGAAGACAACGAAATGGTAGCACTGAAATTCATTGTAAGTCATAATGATAATTTTTTATTATAGCATATTTTTTTATTTACTTTTATATCTATTACATGTAATATTATTTTGCTTGATCCTCCTCCCCTTCCCCACGAATTGATGTAGTTTAGGAAGTCTTGTGATTTGTATTATTAATTTTTGTGTACATAAATTAAATCATGTATAATAATTATTTATCATATTATATAGAATATCTATGCCTTTTATGATCCAAATTTTAGTCATTTTTATTGTGTAACAAATAGTATTACACTTAATAAGTAAGTTATGATTTATACATTTTTTCAATATTTTTCAAACTAATTAATATTGAAATATTTATGTATATGGTATAAATATTTAAGTACTCACTACTTCGCTGTATTTAATTTAAAGTTATTATTGAACTTTGTAATATGTTATAATTTAATAGTCCATTTTGAAAAATTTGTTTTTATTTTTTTATTTTCAAATTTAATTTATTTTTTGTGTATTTAATATATAGGCATATTCTTTGATTTCCATAGCTCAGCTTACATAAATAAGTATAAAAGTTATAAACTTTTTTATAAAGTATAAAATAAAATCTTATAGAATCTACAGTAGAGTCTTAACGATCCGACACTTGGGGACCATTAATACTGCCAAATTATCTTAACAAATAAAAATGTAAAAAGAAATCAAATAAAATTATGAAAACTTGTATTTATTTATTTTTATTAAATTGAAAATGTAACTGGTAGGAATCCCAATGATACCTAAAATATAAAATTAAAGTTGGCAGTCACAAAAAATGCCGGATTACTGAGAACTGGCTTAATAGGTGCCGGATTATCATGATTCTACTGTATTTTACTTTTTGTTTCAAACCTCTGAAATTTCTTTTTTTTACAAAATGTAGTATGATAGTATAGGTGTACTGCATATGATTCAATGTATATTTGAAATTCATAATATGATCGATAAATATTGGTTGATTTGTGTATTTCCATGCAATGTGTTATGTGATTATTTCTAAAAATTCAACTGCATTTGTACAAATCATATCGCACATTTAAAGTTACCCTATAATATTGTATTATTTACCTGTTCTATATTTTTTGCTCATTTATCATATTATCCCCGTCCAATGCTTTTGTAAGTCTGAGATAGTATGTTTAAGCAACATTAATTTCTGTACCCCTGATAAAACATCTAGTGTTCTTCTGTATTGACTTGGAATTTATTCATTGTTGTCAAGTTCCTGTTTTTTTTTTTTAAGTTAAATTATTAACTTTCCGAGTTAACATAATATAAAATAAATGTGATAATACCCAATGAATATTCGTTGTTAAATCCATTTAATATTTTTGGTTCAATTTTCAATGTTAATTTTGTATGTTCATTAAAAATATGTGAATGTTACTTGAAATTATTACTGTATGATCTGATTATTAAACGTCTAACTGATGTATATATTAAACATTTTCAGTTTGAAAAATTGATTGTTTGATCTTTTTTTTTCCTTATATTATATATTTTTTTAAATAGGTACTTACGACTTACAAACCTATGGACATACAACATATTCTATGTAAATTGCGATGCAGTGCAAGTTTTATATTTAGTTATAGGTATTCCTATTTTTATAATTTTCGTTTATTATGTCAAAACGATGAAACCAAATAATGGAAATGATTATATTGTGTGTCCTCGTGGACTACCATCTATAAGCATAATATTTTAACAAATTATAATGTGTTCAAATTTAGATAAATTTGGGAACTTTTGAACAATCATTTTAGTGATTCATCATATTTCTAATTTATTATGTAGGTACTTATTACTTATTAGTAATTTACCTATGACAAGTGTTGTTTTTTAAATTTGAGCGTTTATAATACTGTTAATTGTAATGATGTATTACACATAATATAATCAACATTATAATAGCTAATACAATGGTACTGAAAACATTGCGTATACTATGTACTGTACCTACGTTTGTACGTACTACACTATTACTCATTAGTCGAAATTAGGACGAGATCAAAAAGTCTAGTCTATATATTTGTATTTTAAATAGTAGATAATAATAAATATGTATAATAAGCTAATAAGCATCTTAAACCTATATTTACGTAGGTACCTATATACGACATACCAATCTAATTAGACATTTTGATTAGCCGCGTCAGACTTTTGATAATAAGTGTTAGGTACCTACGTACACTATGTACAGATAAACCACAGGTCTAATAAAGTCGTAGATCGATATAATTTATTGGCAAACGGAGTTAAGAAAAACACTTTTTCATCGACAACTTATTAATTACTATGTTATTGACTTTCAACTTACAAGGATGGATGCGATCTTAAACAACAACTAGGTTATAAGTGTTGTACACAAATTTATCGATGTTATTTGGTAGGTATAGGTAGGTACATACTCAAAAAAATTATCAAGTGAACGGAAATTGACTCTTCGACTGTGCCATTAATCATTATATAGGTATAGCAGTGTTGTAAATGCGTATTAATTATCATATTATTATGTTACCTACCTATATAATATAGGAATAGGATATTATATAGATAACCTTATTATAATCTATAATAGTGGTTAATTTTTTAACGATAGGTATTGTAGTGCACTAATAATCAACGTGATGATGTGGCGTGTTAATTATAGTACCTACATATAGTTGAATAGTTAAAAACAATTTATTTTTTAGATACCTAGTGTTTTTTTAATTTTGAATAAATTATAAACTATTATTTAATATTTACTACTGTCGTTTAAAAGCATTAAATCCATATAGACATAGACTATTAAACATGACAGTATTATTCATATATAAGACGTCACGGTGCCTTTTTCGAAGCGCCGCGGCCGGATATAAAAATTATTTTTAGTTTAGAACGTAGGTACATCATTATAATTAGCGACCCAGGCCACTATTGGTTTTTACATTTTGTTAAAATACCAGAAAAAAAGTACCCGTTGATAAAACCGTATAAAAACATATAATTATATAGGTACATTTGTTAGTTATTATTTTCATTTGTAAACATATTATTTAATATTTTTACCTTACAGGCGTATATATAGTTACATTTTAAAAGTTGGATTAAAGAAAATTTAAAAATTGCATATTATAATGATATAAATTTAATCAGATTTCATCTTTATATTATGCCCTATATTAGTCAAGAATAAATCAACATTCAATTCTCCCCTAGTAAATTTATTGTTCGTATATATTTTTCAATCGAGTTTGAATTTTATGTCATTCCATAGTCTTTTATTGGGTTAATTGCCAAATTTCACTCAATGTTAATTTAGCTTTTTTTATGCCCAACCAAATGACTGAACCTACTCGTATTATACAATCTCTTTCACAAGTTGCTTATTCTACTACTATTCAGTAAGGTACTTTGGTGCACATTCCAATTGTTGGAGGAGGGAATTGAGGGCGAAGTCGATGAAACCTAGGTGCTTATGGCCTATGGGTGCTTCGTCATAAATTATAAAAACAAGTGGTTTTCCATTATTATTGTGGGACTTACCAATAGGTAATATTTTTAAGAGTATTCATAATAGATTACTAGCTCTTGGTAAAAATGTGATGGTAGAAATGTTTAATATTTTAATTAATATTATACCACATAACCACCCAAATGTAAATGTACGATTTTGTGTATTATATGATTTTATTAACAGGACTATTTTCCTGGGGACATTTTTACCGAGTGTTTTTTCCAGGAACTTTTTTCCCGTTTACTATGCTCACCAATGCATTATATTTATACAGACATATTAACATAATATGATGTTCCCATTATCCACTGTTAATCCTAATCAATTCATCCTTCATCTATATCGCCGTATTGGTTTTTTGAAATAATATACCTAGTACCTATAATCTATATGAACTATGTGGTTATAATATGGTGCATGCAATATTGTATGTTTTTTTAAATACTCAATATTAAACTAAATATAGGTACACTGAAGCATCCATTTAATGAAACAATTTGAGGACAATAATCAATTAATTAGAACCATAGGTATATTACTATATTATAATATTATTAAGTGATTCTATTAACGAATTTCTCCAAAATAATAAGAATTTATTTAAGTCGCCATGAGACTCCGTAATAAGTACCTACCTAAGGAACTATGGAAGTTTTGTTGTAGGTACTCAATCCGTCATGACTGCAGCAGTGTCACCGTCACGAAGTATCAAGGAGCTAAATGGGTAAGTATTTTATTTGACGTAATTATATTTATGTTTGCCAATAGTATGAGCCGTTTGAGGAATGCGCGCACCTCACAGGTGTTCCTGGGTTATGTCACGACCTCAGGCAAGGCTGACGTAAATGACGTCATAATTACATGTAGATCAGGTGGGCGAGCCATCGTCCAGTCGGGCGCCAACCGCGTGGTGTGCGATTAAACAATTGTTGTTAAATTTGTTGTGTGTGTGTGTGTGTTTTTTATTGAAAAAAGAAACAACAACGTAATTTATACGATAAATAAAATATAAATAACTAAACCGGTTTTAATTTTAAAAATAATATTTTAACGTCGACCCGATCGAAACATCGAGCGTGCGGAAAAACGACCGCGCTC